GTCAGGCGGAAGTTATTTTCCGCCCTATCAGAACCCATCCTGATGGCGCAGGACCCAGGAATGGTAGTGCCGACTTCCTTGAGGTAGTACTTAGCAACGTGCGTAGCCTAAGGAACAAAATGCATGGACAAATCTCGTCCCGACATACTTGGTTTCACTGAAACCTGGTTGTCTCCGGCCATCACGGACGATGAGGTATGTTTATCTGGCTACGCGCTGCTTAGAACTGATCGCTCCGTTGGTCGCCAAGGCGGAGACGTTGTACTGTATGTGAGCTGTAACTTAGATGTGTTGAGGACCTGCACATTCCAGACGTCGGATCAGACCGTTGAAGCCCTATCGGCTGTTTTCTGCACTTCCTCTACCCAGTTTACAGCTGTAGTGATATACAGGAGTCCTGGAAGTTTTTCCAGGGGGACACTTGACTTTATTCGCACTCTTTCCGCGAATAAATGTTTAGTTCTATGGGATTTCAACTTCTCGGAAGTCTGTTGGGCCGATCTTTCTTGCAATTCGGCGTCAGAAACATTCGGTGCAGATTTTCTTGAACTGACTTTCCAAGTGCCTTTGCATCAGTTCGTGGACCTCCCCACTAGGTATATGGACAATCAAGTATCATCTGCTTTAGATCTGGTTTTCTCCAAGTCCCTCGACTTCGTGACTGACATTTCATACGGCGCACCTCTAGGGTCCAGCAACCACGCATGCGTATCCTTTCGGTGTGCTCTTTCAAGGCACCAACAGACCGCTGTTGAATTAATTCCGAATATTTGAGGGGCGAGCTAAGGCTTCAGTTCTGTACTGTGAGATCTCGATGACTGACTCTGTCCAGTTAGCCTGGGATAAATTTAAGACACGTTACGGAGGCTTCCACTCCCTATATTCCACTCATGAGGAAAAGAGGGTTACGGGCACAGCCTCCATGGATGGATACCACAGGCAACTACCTACTCAAGAAACGCTCTAGATGCTGGCGAACCTACCAAGCAGCTCCATTAGCCATTACCTATGATAGTTATCGAGAGACTAGAAATAACTGTAAGCAACATCTCAGGACCGTTCGTCTCCAGTACGAGCAGGGTTTAGCGGACTCGGCCGCAGCTAATCCCAATAAGCTTTTTGCTTACGTTCAAAGGCGCAGCGGGGCAAAACTGTCTACACCAGCGTTATTGCAAACAGTCGGGACCCGTGCGCAAACTGACCGTGACAAGGCTTGTATACTTAGTGATCAGTATATTGGACTCCTCGCTCGGGAGACCTCTTTACCACGGGGTAAACTGATTTCAAGAGTTCCGTAGGATACTTGCTTAGCTGAGTTTAACATAACGGTGACTCAAGTCTGCGAGCTACTGCAAGGCATTAATCCCTCTAAAGCTTCCGGTCCTGATTTAATTCATCCGAAACTGTTGCATGAATTGGCCACTGAGCTAAGTGGTCCTCTCACATGCATGTTTTCAAAATCGCTTGACAGCTGCATCCTACCTTGAGAATGGAAGGAGGCAATCATTTGTCCGATGTTTAAGGGCGGTGACAAAGTTCTGCCCGCGAACTACCGGCCTGTCAGTTTGACAAGCGTAGTAGTCAAGTTGTTTGAAAAGCTGTTAAGGGATTCAGTGAAGATCCACCTGAATAGATTCAACCTTCTCAGTGTTGCGCAACATGGTTTCCGCAAGGGATTTTCATGTCAGACTAATCTATTTGTAGCTCGTGGAAGCTGGGCCGAACCGGTAGACAGTGGCCACGCTGTAGACGTGCTATTCGTGGATTTTTCGAAAGCTTTTGACACTGTTCCTCATCTTCGACTCTCCCTAAAGTTAGGATATTACGGTATATCTGGTCACGCTTTTAAATGGGTGTCTGCTTGCCTTGAGAGGAGGGAACAGTACGTACGGTTAGGGCGTAGTCTTTCGCGCAGGCAAGCTGTCCTTAGTAGCGTCCCGCAGGGCCCGGTATTGAGGCCATTGTTGTTCGCGATTTATGTAAATGACTTGCCGCAGGAGCTAGGAGTGTCATCACTAATGTTTGCTGACGACCTTAAGCTCTGGAATATTGTGGATATCCCGGGGGGTCCTAAGACAGTTCAGCATGCCTTGGATAGGCTCTGGGAATGGTCTACCTTATGGTTGATGCCCATAAATAGGGCCAAGTGCTCTGTTCTCCGAATCGGAGCTGCAAATCCTCCCACCCGATATGTTCTCGGCGGTAGTGAACTCCCTGTTGTCACTCAGCAGGTTGATTTAAGAGTCGTACACGCATCAGCACTTCATTCTGGAGACAACTGGAAGAAGGCTGCTTGTCGAGAGTTTCGTATGATGTGGTTTATCTGCCGTCCTTTCGGAATATTAACGGCCAAGTTGTTTGTGAAGCTGTTTTCGGCATTCGTCCGACCCCACCTGGAATATTGTATTCAGGCTTGTCCACCATATCTTAACCGAGACAAAATGGACTTGGAGAGGGTGTTACGAGTGGGCACTCGGTTAGCGCAGGGTCTACGGGGACAGACGTATCCTGAACGCTTGCTCAGTTTGGGGATGTACTCCATGCACTACCGAAGGATAAGAGGGGACCAGATTTTCACTTATCGTATTTCGACGGGTACGATCGCCTTGGACTTGTCAGGGCTGTTTAGTCCCGCTACGTTACTTAATCTCCGCGGTCACCCACTGATACTGCGTAAACCACGGTCTGATAGGATTATGACGGAAACTCGTCTGTCGCGCCGAGTTATAGATCGCTGGAATTCGCTTCAATATCAAGTGGTTAGGGAACCTACGCTTAAGGGTTTTGTGCGCCAGCTCGATGCTCTTGGGTGGCAACACCAAAGTTTTCCTTTTTCCTAACTGACTCACCTTCACTTTGCAGTTCATTTTTAATGACTCAACTATCTTGGTATTCTACTTGCCTAGCTGTTTCCACTTTCTCTTTTTGCCTTCTGCGTTTACTTTTTTGTCTTTCTTACTTCACGTAACCGGCCCAGCAGGAACCGTTATGGCAGGATACGTGTGCATTGATTAGTTAGACAGGGTGTGATGCGGTCTTTGTTTTATGTCCATCAGTATTTCAAAGTCTGCCAATTTCTGGTTCAATGATCCGCTGAATAAGGAACACTCACGGGATAATCCTATCGTTCCAGTCCCGCTTTAACTTGAACTTGAGTGCAGAGTTTTCATCTCCAATCGAAATGACCTCATCCGTGTAACAGTGATATCAGTTGGGTATAGGGAGCTGGTGGAAAGCAAACCCACAGAGTATTCCAGGTAATTTCAAATGCTGGATGAAACTCGGATACCGAGTTTGCTGCTAAATATGCCAAGAAAAATGCAACCATAGCCAATCGATGTCAGTGGAGCCTTTTTGGAAAGCCACAGCTGAGTTAAACAAAAGGCGAATTACGCTAAGTATATGCAAATGCAATTCAGTAAGCTAAAGAAAACCTTACTCAACATAGATGGAATGAGGCTGCACTAGGAGAATGGTAAAAAGCAAAATATAATATGCCAGCTGTACGCCGTAATGGCGCTTCGATGCCGTACCACCAGGCGCAGGCGGGCTGAAGATACCGCGAGGACGACCACCACTACGCGGATTCGAACCCGCGCCGCAAGATTACGAAACAAGCTCGTTACCTCTATGCTACGGGCCGACGGGATAATGGTACGAGAGTGATAGAATGAAACTAACGGTGAGGTGGAGGAGGATGTATGAAAAGATTGTGGTGTTGATCAAAGCTATATAATTATCCAGTAATCATCTGAGTGAGCTAAATATAGTTACTATAAACAGGAGATATTTTCCGGATGTGGCGATTTAAAAGCTAATCTGTTCTAAAAAGTTAAGCACTGTAATAATGCAGTCCTACTTCTGTTACTGAGTACAGGTTTGGCCTGAAGATGCGAAACAAAAGCTGCCCTTCATTCGTAGCGTATTTGAGCTACACAATGTCACTACTGTTCAGCGAAAAATGCATTAATGGGGTGCAGGCACGGCCACATGATATGTCTAAGACATACATCGATTTGACGTCATTATTTTTTAAATTCCCGTTGTTGTCGCGTTGAAGCCTTTCTTCATCCTTTTTTGTAGAGTGAGACCGGGAACGTAATCATGTGCGGTTTGTTTTATGTGCTACGTTTACCAAGTTTTATCGACAGCGGTTGTTCAAAGGTGGATTGAAACAGCGTTATGTTAAGCTTATAATACCAAATGATATTACAGTTACTTAACAGGTAACCAGGGTTCAATTGCTTGAGGCCTTTACTAACGTTGGATAGCATGACAACGGGTGGTCTTTGATAGATTGCAGTGGTTAAATCGTTGGAAACACCGGTGCACACATCTCACATGTTTGGTTTTAGCGAAACCTAGTTACCGACGCGTTATCGACCAATTAGCTATTAAAAGTTGTCTTACTTGTGCTGTATATTACCGGTACAGCAATAGTTCGTCAGTTCATTCTTACTGCCGCCCTGTGTCGTGAATGAGCACGGGGTTTTTCCACTATCGTGACCACATGCTTGTTTGGATTTGGAGTAACTAGATATATGCAGGCTACCTGGCTCCTACTCATTCTTTTGAAGATTGGCATCAGTATAGTGAGTGGCTACAAGTCAACAGCACGGGGACAATAATTGGCTACTTTTAGCACGGGGTGGGACATCTTCTGAATTCGTATGCATATAAAAAGGACGCTTAAGAAGCCGAAGATGTCAACCATGTAGTAAAGATTTGATAAATACGGTTGATATTTTGTGTGTTGTAATGATTTTATGCCATTTATAGGAACGAATTTCACAATCTTCAAAAATTTCACTGCCTACAGCAGACAGAACCATAGGAGTTTGCTCATCGTTACCTATACTTAATTAATTTCTTAACGCACTGGGTTTCGCAGTCGTACAAAACCACCCCCAGCGTAGTCTTGTCCCACTACCAGCAGACAGCTGTCTTTTTAGTTGTAAGCGGAGCTAAACGTATATTCATATATTTCCCTCCCTCCTCAGGAGCCACACACACCATCGGTCGTATAATGTCTGGCTGCGCAGCTAACATGAGCTGGGTGGACACTGTTTATCTGAGCGGCCTAGGAAGTCTATTCGCCGCAGCCGTCACCTTACTCTTGCCCAGTGCGTTCCCCGTTGGATTCGCGTGGTACGGTGTCTACGCAGCAACTTTCGGTATATCTGTGGGTGAGTTACTTCCAGTGCACGTTGCGTGATGTGACTGAAAACCCACTCATCTCATGTGTAATCTTTAGTATTTGATTGGGTTCTGAAGTACCCATTGATACACCCATCAAATGAATGTAACCTGTTTCAAGACGAAATCTAGTTAACATTAGTAAAATGCTTGGCCGCGTATCGTCTCACAGCACATGTTGCCGCATTCACCCACCGCTATTGTGTCGTCCACATAAGGGTGTTCTGCTGTTACTCTGCTAACGACCTCGATCCTGTTACGCAATAACATCATGTGGGCTGCCGTAGCCCCCCGGTTGAGTAGCAATGTATTGAAGAGACGGCTGTGTTATATGGGCTGTTCTAACATCTAATTTGCGGAGTGTAGCCGCAGTTCAAGCACGATCCGTAGTGATCACTCATATTATCTTTGGCACGGTTTTCATAAACGGCTAAAAAACGTTTTGTTTCATTTCTTTTAGATGGGGCGGCATTTATGACTTGATGTCGATTGAGTAATCGCCTTTTCGTCATTGGTTTGCATTGCTAATTGCGTTCGATTTGTGAAGTTATTTACTTTTCATTGGCAGCATTTCCCATTCCGATGGTCCCTATAATCCTGGTTCGATTTCTCGGGCTTCAAAGGCTTACAGCTAGCTACAGTAATCTGAATATGATCAAAGGGATCGCATCTGTCGTTGGACCTTTGATTGCAGGTAGGTCAAACGGTTGATTCCGTATGCATGTTTAGCGTATTTTGCCTCACTCATCGCTCAGTTGCGGACGATTGGATCAGAACTTTGTATCGCAAACGTGTCTGATGGTTAGTTTCTAAGTTACTTTTGTTGCGCATAATTCGGATCCGTAGTTTACCGATTCACCTTTCAATCAGCGGTATCCTTAATTTTAAGATCCATCTGGGCTTGTGTTATTAGGGATGCGGATAGTCAGTTTTAGTGATGTGAAGAAATGCGCTAGGATCACTCGTACACAACATCAACTGGAAATGTCTCATTGGATCAGTATATTCGTTATCATCATCTCTACCATCCTGTGAACGACATTAGTCCGTGGAACTTGTCGCTGGAATTCACTTCAATACATTTTCTTCGCTCACCGCTACCGCATGTACGATCAATGCACGTATCTTTTATTCTAAACTGCTCTACTCGCAAGCGCAACATCCGAGCAAAATCCACTGAGATGTACTATTGCTCTAATATGAGGTCAAGGGCGAGCAATCGTGAGCAGAGCACCTCACCTTAGTTAGTCAGAGTGGAAATGTATGACTTATGCCTGAGGACTGGGATTCACTGACGCGGACAAGTCTCACATTTACCTCTTAAGTAATCCATCGATTTCATCTACGGGTAGGTTCAAAACATCTGAAAAACAGACTCACGGTTTGCAAACACAATCCGGTTAGTGCAGAAAACCAGAGGTAGTGGTTGCCTCTGGCTGTGGATCAGCACAAGGTTTATTCGCTTTTCTGCCATCCTACTCTGGTTATCTGGCCGATGGTCAATAATACGTTAGCCCGCTAAAATTCCCTATCGGTTGCCTGTGATAGCACATGCAACACATCACGACAGTAAAATAAATCTGGTACCGTCTTCTTGACGATCTTCAAATAACGGGGTCATCAGCATCCCCATAACTGGACTTGTTTATCGCTGGCTTATGAGTTAAACCTTGAGTTGTGGTTAAGAGGTGGGAAACCTGTAACGAAGTCCTTTCGGAATGGCACCCACCAACAAGACCCTCACATGTTTACTATTTTCTAGCTTAATGTACAAATCTCATGAAGTCATGAAGCTTCGTGCTTTGCTGTCATCGTATCAGTGAATTTGCCTACATTCAATGGTTTACATGCTATTCAGCGTTTTGAGCAAGTGCAATTGCTACGTCGCGATTCCATGTGCCACTCGATTTGGGCCTGTTGGCCCGCGTGGGCATCCTATCCATCGTATGCAATTGCTTGCACGGAAAAGGGTCCGTTAAATTTAGCGCAGGGACATTGACTACTACCCGTGATAGAATGCGAACAAATCGTAGCTCTTTCCGCCGACAGGCTCTGTTAAATGGGTAAGATGGGGCATGCTCCAACCCACTGTCTCACATTGAGTCAAGTTCCTCCTACCCCACAACTTGTGATCTACGCCGTCACCATTCTCATCGTCGTCATGCAATCCGTTATCTCCCAGGTGACGAATTGCTCTCGGGCATGTGTGGCCGGCACCTCCTTGCCCCATACATGCATACATTTAGGTATATACTTGCAACCGACATCCTATTGGCTGAAGGCGTCTGAGCACTAAGGCAGCTATGCGACGTTGCACGTGGTGACCACGGCCGACGCACAGATGTACCTAATTGTACGAATAACAGACGAATTTGAAATCTCCACGTCCTAACTTTTTGCACTATGGACTAACTTGCCTACGATATGGTATAGAGTTTGGTCACACTAGATTATGCTCCGGCATGTCTTTTAAACTAAGGGACCACTTAACTTCGTGATTGCCAGCGTCATCTGAATTCAGGATCTACGAATCCGAGTCGGGACATTAAGTACACTTGATGGCCGAAGCGAATGGGCGGGCCGTCGAGTGGAGTCATTTGCGCGGGCTAACCTGAATTCAGCTTATCCCGTGTCTTCTCAGGCAGCCGATTAAAGACAAGCAGTCCATGGGTCAAAGGTATGCATATGAAATGGACGCAATCGAGGAAGCAATAGAACACCGAGAAATACGAGGTCATCGCCTGTAATAAAGTGAGCTACACTTTATGGGAGCAAGACGAGCCTGGCCACGAAGTCGAGCTATTTGCGGACGTTTGGCCTCAGTTGCCGGATAGAGGAAGCTACAACAAATCGGAGCAAGCTCGGAATATTCTGTTTGTTGATATCCCTGAATGCGTCACCAGGGTTTTCGCACAAAATGCAATCGTGCAGATGCTGGTTGATTGAGTTGGCAGAAAGCATAAGACCACTTGTCGCTAAGTTCCGTACGAAATGTTCCATGATCCTACTTGTTAGCCTCCTCTCGGTTCAGCCAGTGTACTTGCTGGCGCAGCTGAGCTCGTGCTGTTACATCAGACCAAAAGACTGCTCCATGAATCCAAATTGGATGAGCCTGAATCTCAGGTAACCACCTCATGTGTTTACCAATCCAGCGTACTTAAGGTAGCACGTACATTGGCCGAACCGAAGGTAGACTATCAGCAAGGAGCATGAAACATTTTGTACGGAACTTTACGACGAATGACCTTATGCTTTCTGCCAACTCAATCAACCAGCATCTGCACGATTGCATTTTGTGCGAAAACCCTGGTGACGCATTCAGGGATATCAACAAACAGAATATTCCGAGCTTGCTCCGATTTGTTGTAGCTTCCTCTATCCGGCAACTGAGGCCAAACGTCCGCAAATAGCTCGACTTCGTGGCCAGGCTCGCCTTCCTCCCATAAAGTGTAGCTCACTTTATTAATGGCGATGACCTCGTATTTCTCGGTGTTCTATTGCTTCCTCGATTGCCTCCATTTCATATGCATACCTTTGACCTATCGACTGCTTGTCTTTAATCGGCTGAATGAGAAGACACGGGATAATCTGAATTCAGGTTATCCCACATAAATTTTTATCGTTCTTGCTTTTCCCCTTTTGGAATGGAAATGGCTACATAGAAATGGTTTCCACTTAGCTCTAAAATTGAGCCTCGAAGAAACTTGTCATCCTAGCTTCGAACAGGTAAAGTGTATTTCGAAAGCGTTTACCAAAGTGATGCATATAACTTCAGGTCGTTTGGGAAATCGTAGAACTTCGACCGAACAGAGGTGTCAGGATCGGTCCATAGCATTGGTGGAAGGTAAAGGGTAGGTAGATGGAGAAATTCATTGCCTACAATATTAAAATACATTATTCTTATTCACCTGAAGGTCGAGTTCAAGAGAGCTATCGCTGAGTGAAATAATAGTTGAGGCAATCATACGCATGATCCGCAATCAGACCGCCGAATAGGATGCGGGTTGAAAATATCTAGGAACATTAGCAGACCCGCTGTGTTGTAATTGTTTAACGAATTACGTTAATCACCTAGCAAATTGATAGTACCACTACAAGTCCTAAGGAGAGTTAACATTCACCTGTCTTGTTAAAACTAACGAAGCATTAACGACCGTCTTTCATCATTGCTGATACCTGATGACAGTGTTATTCTGTGGTTGATCAGGCTGTTACATCGGACTATGTTCTACACGCTATAAGAGATACTTCTCACTGGTGGTTATCAGCTGTCATGATATTTTTCAAGACTATTCTGGCCAATTTTGCGAGTTTTGTCGAAACGTAAATTTCATTCTGCTCATTCGAACCTACACCTCCTTCGTGGTGGGATGGTTTGGTAGACAGTCGCTTCAGGGAATCCAACCTTTCCTTCCTCCTTATAGAGGTTGGATCATTACGAACTACGCTGCAACAGGTGCTAATACACGCAGATGGCCTACTGCGGTGACGTGTTTAACTGTTAGGTAGTCTTTACGTTGCCAGTCCTACCTACCTCGTTGCTCAACTTAGAAGAGTGAACGGGAACTTTATTTTCCGTCGTGAATTCGTTTTATCTTTACTCCTGTCGATCAGTCATTCTATCCAGAAAGACTCATCTAGAAAGTCGATGGCGCACCTATACTCCGCTCAGCACTTTTGACAGTTACTATTGTCATCCTGCGAAGTTACTAATTTCTTGAGCATTTTAAACGTTGTATTCCTTTTGTGTTTGTCCGTCAACTATGTATTTTATGTTCATTGCTGGGTCGTTGGTTTCACCATGCTTCGTTGTTCTATGAGCAGTAAAACAACTGAGCCCAACATGCCTTAGAGATTATTTGTCTCACGACTGTTCTTGCCTTTTTAACTTTTCAGTAAGTGATAGATGGAGTTGCACATTCTTTTCTGGATGCAGCGTGATCGCTTGTAAGCGCATTTATAACCAGGTGAACGAACTCAGCTTGTCACAACAGCTAGGGAATAAATATAGTGTTTGTGTGTCCTCTGCAAGTTCAATCAAGACCTCTATTTGCCCTGAAGTACACCTTGACCATACCCATCATTTGGGCCGCATCCGCAGTATAGACGTCTCTGCTTTTCTCCTGTTTCCCAGTTCTAATTCGAGACACAGTTTTGTACCCTTTTAATAAAACCACTTATTTATCAGTCGATATATGCAACTTTCCTTAATCAGGCAATTTCAGAAACATTTCTAGATTGTGTGCGGAAGACAGCGCTGCATGTATATCCCTTGGTTATTAGCAATCAATGTCCACTTCTTTTCTCAAATGCACACCACCGGATACAACATTGGGGCATACGTGTTTTATTCGGGTATTGAATACGCTAGAAACAATCCAGCCGGATCTGTTCTCACAAGTAACAAAGATGCGAATCATTTGTGGTATTGCCTCGCATGCGGCTGGCATTTATGTTCTTGTTTCGCTTTATTTGCAGCTGCATGGGTATGTTCGTGTCAGATGCAGCTACACAAAACTGACGGCCTGTGTAGAAGCGAAGAAATTATACTTAGTATAGTTTTCTGTTCTCGTATCACATTCTGTATACTTCAAAAGTTTTTAAATATCTGGTACTTTACACTATTCATAAATGATGTTTCATCCTCAGTGGATGACTCAGTTCTGTGGTTCTATTCCAGTTTCCATCGTTGAG